GCAGAGAGCCTACCATCTCCATCTTTGTTTCTCTTCTTCTTCTTTCTTTTTAATCTTGAGTGCCCTGGCTGCCTCTATCTCTTCCTTGGTTTTTTTCTTCTTAGTGGAGACAGAATGCCCTCCTTCCTCTTTTATCACCTTTGAAAGGGAAAAAGGAGTCATCGCTGCACATTTTGTGAATACTGTCTGCATTTTGCAGGAGTTGCAAATCTTAGCTAGTTAACATGACCTTGGTGTCATATTTAAATTAGCAGAATTCACAATGTTTAACAACAATGTTCACTACATCTTATACATGTTGGTTCAATAAAAATGTTTAAGCTGACCCCTGAAATTTTTTTTTTTACAACACTTTAATTGAACATATCACCTAGATAACAACTTTGAATAAACTTTTGGCACAACATTGCACCCCTAAACTTGACAGGACGATTAAGACTCAAATCAACAAGTATGAACTGCGAAACTGTAAAAACAGGATGCAAGTAAAAGCAGGATAAATTATTTCTTGCTGTTGACAATTTGGATGCAAGTCTTGCTGTTTAGAGAGTTTATGGTGGTAAAACTTGCAAGGTATAGATCTCTAAACATGTATTCTTTGTTACAATGGAGGAATACAATAGTGACAAATGGCATTTTGCTATTTAGATAAAAAGCTTTTCTCATTGAGATACTGGTGGATCCACATGAGACAAAACATTTACTTTTCCAAAGGTAAAATTACTTTGAGAAATTGAAGCGCACAGAAGTCTAGTCTGCAGTGGGAAAATAGACACAACACCTGACCAGAATGAACTCCTGAGGGGCAGTGTGGACTGCATCTTTTCACAGTAAGCCAAAACCAAACTGTAAACGGTTTCTCCTGAAAATAAGATTTTGAGCTCTGCAAGAGAGAAATGTTTTCCAAAACTGCTCTCCGCAGAACTAAAATTACTATCAATGGTCGAGAGCAACAGTAGTTGAACAAAATGACGGCTTTTCAGTACAGGCAATCGCTTTGTGATATGGTCTTTTAAATCCATCAAATTGGAGGGTGATTGTGAAGTTGACGTTGACCTGCAGAAGGCAGTTTAGATAAATAGTAAAAGTGAATGAAATTACATTTCTGTGATTTGTGTGAATAAAATGGAAAACGCTAACATGCCTATTCATCATGTGAACATAAGTTTCAATCCCCCCCCCCAAAAAAAATATTTAATAATTGAATTTTACAAAAACTGGTAAAGACATTAACACAAAACCAACCCTGCATGGTACATAATTATAGTTAAAGCAAACTTTACTGACATACAATATCTCAGAACTTTCTGACTGTGCCTTTATGTAGATTATCTCAGCATGTGTCCTTTTTAAAGATTTTGGATTTCAAATATCCAAATTACTAGCATTTCAGCGAGCGCTCTGTCACTCAGTTCTTCTCTCTACAATCTATATACCGCTAATGCACTCTAGGTAAAGCCCACCTTGTCTTTTTTTCCCATGATCTTTTTCTTCACTGTTGCTGAGTTTTCCTGTCCCTCTTCTGTAGCTTTCTTCTTCTTCTTCTTTGGCCTTTCAGAGAAAGAAAGCATGAATTTCATTTCATACATGTAAAGCGTCCTTTTTTGAGCACCAAATCAGCATATTTCTGAAGGATCATGTGACAAAGACTGGCATAATGGCTGCTGAAAATTCAAGTTTGATTTTACAATTAGAAAAGAGTTATTTAGATTCTAATAATATTTCATAATATTGCGTTTTTTTATGGATTTGTAATAAAATATCTGCTGCCTTGGTGAGCAAACCGTAAGAGACTTTCAAAAACATAAAACCCCCAAATGTTTAAATAACAGTTTATATATAGAATGGGCCCAGCATAAAGAGCTGTCTGTGATTAATGCACATGACCACTTTTATCATGCTAAAAATTCAAAGGCGACTATCAATAGAAATTCCATCCTCTTCGAGAAAAATTAAAATTAAATAAGCTAGACAATTAATTGCAAGGTCTCTGAAATCCATCCTAAAATGCTATTTTATATTCAATTATGTAAAAGCCCATTTGTTCAGGAATAAAACGCATATCATGTATGTTGGTAAACCTCCAATGTACAAAACCATGGTAATTATTTGACTAAAGATTTGCCATAAACTATTAAATATCCAAGCTGCTCTTTTCCATATAATGAACGTAAATGGTGACCATGGCGGTCCGTTATCTTTCACTTTCACTGTATGGCCAAAAAGTAACTTTGACATTTAGCTAAACATCTCCTTTGAAATAGTAAGTCAATATAGGTTTGGAATGACATAAAGGCGAGTAAATTTTGGGGTGATTTATCCCTTTAAGTAAAAAATGGCACAGCTTACCCCACTGGCTCAATAAATAAGAAATATGTGACCCTAGACCACAAAACCAGTCATAAGTTGCATGGGTATATTTGTAGCAATAGCCAACAATACATAGTATGGGTCAAAAGCTTTGACATTTAGCTAAACATCTCCTTTGAAAATAGTAAGTCAATATAGGTTTGGAATGACATAAAGGCGAGTAAATTTTGGGGTGATTTATCCCTTTAAGTAAAAAGTGGCACAGCTTACCCCACTGGCTCAATAAATAAGAAATATGTGACCCTAGACCACAAAACCAGTCATAAGTTGCATGGGTATATTTGTAGCAATAGCCAACAATACATAGTATGGGTCAAAATTATCAATTTTTCTTTTATGCCAAAAATCATTAGGATATTAAGTAAAGATCATGTTCCATGTAGATATTTTGTAAATTTCTTACCGTAAATATATCAAAACGTAATTTTTGATTAGTAAAATGCATTACTAAGAACTTCATTTGGACAAATTTAAAGGCGATTTTCTCAATATTTTGATTTTTTTGCACCCTCAGATTCCAGATGTTCAAATAGTTGTATCTCAGCCAAATCTCAAATCTCAATTTCTTTGTGACCCTTATGTGGTATAGGGTCACATATATCAAGCAGGAACTGTTACTGGCTAATTCATTCATTGCTACGCCTAGGAAAAACAAACACTTACAAAGGAGCTTCAGAGGTAGAAGAGGGACCATCCGTGTTATCCATCTTTCTTTTCCTCTTTTTCCCTTTCCCTTTTGTTACAAAGTCTGGATCTTCCTCTGGCTCTTCCTTCACATTCACCTGAGACCTAAAAGAGACAAACAACCAAAAGACACATTTAAAGGCTGTAAGAACTTTAGTCTAAAAAAAAAATAATAATAAAAAAACTCAAAAGGACAAATATGCATTGACCAATGACAAAATGACGGTGATTACACAATAATGCTTAATGGCCACTGATGATAATTATATAATTACGGTAATTATGCCCAAGGATAATTGCGGAGAGATACAAGCTTCAATTTCCATAAAGCATGATTCAGATGTGGCGGGCGGTGAGCAGACCAAATCAATTAATTACAATTACCATAACAAACGGTTCAATTCAGCCGAGAACTTTCTGGGAGTGATTAAGTGTAAAAGAACACTCGGACACCTTCAGCAGTTTTAGAGTCTAACCTCTGTCATGTAAATCAACCTCCCACCTGCAATCATCGGCAGGACTTGATTTACAAAGCGTCTGATTGTCAAAGTCCCTGATTAGAGATGTACTGTTCTTATCGGGAGACAGAAACAGCCAACGAGAGATTTTAGATGCTCCAACTTTTCAAAAAATCTTACATATGAAATGTATTTCTGTATATGAAATATAATTTCATGTTAAATGTTTGCTTGCTTAGATTTATGCCTCAGGCTCCATTCTTCAATACATGTTAAATGTTTGCTTGCGCAGATTTATGCCTCAGGCTCCAATCCATTCCACCCCAGGACCCCCTCCCACCCAGTCTGATCTGAATGCTTTAAACTTATTACTTTTCTGACATGCCACAGCTTTCTTTCCAATAAATAAATAAATTTTCTGAAAGACAGCCAATGTAGCGAGAAAATCGGAATGGATATTGTCCAGAACTGCGCACATTCAAATCATCAGAATTAATTTTCATCAACTCCAAAGACAAGAAAAAAAAAAGTATGATTGCATATTTGAATCATAAATGGATTAAAACTAATTTCCAAGTGCAGCTGCTGGCTGCTGATGCCGTTTCTCTAAATCAAAAGCCTGAATCTGTGAAACTGCATGTGCAATACTGGCTACTAAAAATACCATCACATGTGACAGCGATCTCACTGTACCTTCTGTCACCGCTGTCTTCAAAGTCCATGCTCTCTTCTTTAGGCGTTTTCATCTGAAAGATAAAAAAAACATGACAGCTAGATGATGGAAACTTATGTATTGCTTTCCCAAACATTATAATTATATAAAAAATTTAATGAAATATATAATTAATTTAAAATGTATGTTTATATATGTATGCATGTTTCTTTCAGAATTATTTGATTAGTACAAAAGAACAGCATTTATTGGAAATTGCAACACTGTACATGTGTTTTATAGACACTGTTGATCAATTCAACAAAGTAAAATAATTTATTCATAAAGAAGATGGAGTACAACTCACTGAATAATGAATGCAAGCTCTTTGGCACTCACTTCACACTTGGTTAGATTTACGATTTCTGATGCACATCATTTGTTTGGGAGGCTCAATTTGTCTCCATCTTTCGCAGTAACGCGTAAGGCATTTCCTGCTGCAAAGTGCAGCGCTGTGTATAATAATGTGCAGCTGTTGTTTGTGTGGCTATTAAATCGTGCTTATTCTCAGTTGAATAACAAATATTTAGCTCACTTGTATACTCACATACAGAATTCACAGAACAGAAGAATTAGGGGTGATGTGCGAGTTTGAATAGTGTGTGCCAGCAAAGCACAATTACTGGATGGAAGCCAGTCAAGATCAAGGGATTCTTTTACCTACAGTACATTTGGACAAGTGTTTGAGGATGTGATGTGATTGGACACGCAGTGCAAGTGCAACATTTATTTGTGATGCATAAAGGGCCTAGTGGTGTGTTGTAATTTCACTAACAGCTGTACTCACACAAGCGCATCTCCACTTGAGCCTGGATTATCTTTTAACTCCTTTTCCACGGCTTTCACAGAGTTAGAGTCTTCTGCCATCCCTAAAAGATGATGCCAACAATTCAAATGAATTCATTAAATTCATATTTCACTGAAAGCAGCCCTTCAAATCAGGCGTCTTAACACGATCATAAACTTCACAAAATAAATTCACTAATTAATTTAGCAATGCTAAAACAGGAATATTTCAACTGAGATGTGAATAAAATCAATAAACATTCATGTAATACCTGCAAATCCGTATATTGTGCGGTTGTTATCAATCCGCGTCGTTACAGACGAGCCACTGATTTGAGGTTTTGTTGTCGTTGCTAATTTATAGACTAGCTTATGCTATATTTCCAGGGTGATTGTAAAATTACCTTCTGGTTCAACAGATATTAATTTAAAATGTGTATTAAAATTGCATGTGCGTTTGAAATTTCTTTGACTCTACAGCATAAAAGCTGCTGTAAGCGTTAGACCACTAGCGACACCAAATGGAACTGATAAAAATTGCTTTCCAAACAGGTTTCCCCAAATACTCCCATTGGTCGGACAAAAAGGTATTCCCGCCTCAAGCCCACGCCATTGGTTGATTTTGGCAGAGAGCCGTCTCTATGTTTTCTGATTTGCTAACACTGCTGTCACTGAAACAACAGCGATTTTTCGCCAGTAAACTTACTAACGTTAAATAGGAAGACAAGAGGGATTTCTTCTGACAATAACATTAAAATAATATTTAACGATATAATTAATTATTATAATATAGTTATGCCTTAAAATATTATTTGTTATGGTCTCTGATGACTGTGTTCGATACCCATGATTTTTAAAGGCAATTAAGACATCACGCGCGAATACGATTTTATTTTAACTAATAGATATTATCATATTCACCAGTTGTTTAATCACAATGCAATAAGACAACTGTTTTCTATTACAAGTTTTCTGGATATGCAAACGAAATTACATAATTAAATATAAACTAATTTGCATAAAGTTGCATAAGAGATACCCGAAGACCTGTTACCTCATCTAAAGGTAATGTAAAATATCTAGTTGCAGGGGCGCAACTGCACTTTTGCCGAGGGGTATGCAAGATCAGTGTCGGCGCCCCCCTGTATTCTAGTAGCCTCTAACACTACCGCGCTGAGGGCAAGCTGAAGTGCGCGTCTGAAAAGTCTCCTGTTTGTTGTTGTCGCAAAGAGATACGGCCCTTCCGCGTCTTAATAAGTTTTTAATAAATACATTTTTTTGAACTCATTAAAATGCTAAAAATCGTTAAATAAAAATGTTGCATTAATAATTTTTAATAACTAAGCTTTTGATTATTTATAACGTTTTATTAAAGAAGATTTTCACAGAATGATTTTGGCAAAATGGCGCCCCCCTATGTGTGGCGCCCCTATGCACTGCATATACTGCATACCCCGTTTTTGCGCCACTGTCTAGTTGTATAATACATGCAGTTGTATGATATATTTACATATATTGCATACATTGACAGATTGCATAGAATTAATTAATTTATTTGTTTGTTTATACATACATAAATATTTTGTATCCTTTTTTCTTTTACTAAAATACTTTTACTAAGGCATCTACCCTTCCCTACCTTTTAAAAATCCCAATATATTACTGTATTAATTTTTATAATATCTTTTTAAAAACTTACTCCATATTTTTGAGTTTGTAGGAACACCTGTGTTTCTGTGCTGTCATGCGTTTGACATACAACTGTGCGCGGTTCCTTTAAGACACCCCGGAAGTGGATGTGAATTGCAACACTATATACAAGGTTTATTTTGGTGCGTATTTTGTCAGGCGCGCAATGACACCTTTCCACTTATGTACAGCCGCGCGCTCTTTGCTAAAGTCTTATCGACACAGAGCAGTGTTAAAAACGGTCCAGGGACTTAGGGTGTGGGAGTTCAGAAACATGTATCATCCATGTACTTCCATCATCGCAGTGCACAACAGCATGGATGAGATCCTGAGAAAGACAGTGGCCCCATTGCCCAGCTATGAGATGAGAGACAAATCTCCACCTCCACCTGAATCCAACAGTCTGGAGTTCATGCACTTCTACAAGAGTTTAGAGAAAGAGCAAAAGCTGGACTTTCTCGAGAAGCTTTCTCATGATTTCGGGGTAGATCACAGATGGGCTTCGGACCTGGCTGCGAAGTTGCTGGACACTCAGGGGCGGGATGTGGCCACCATCCTGCAGGTGGAGGACAGGTTACGGTACAGTTTAACACCCCGGTACCGACAGCTGCTCACGCACATCAGCAAGGTTCAGGGCGGGGTGAAGTTTCTGGTGGACCTCAGGGCAGATCTCATCGAGTTTGCGTCCTCAAAAATGAGTGACAGCCCACATATGAGGGTAAATACACATTATTTTATTGCTACTGTTTATGATATGTATAGATAGCAAATGTAGCTATTAGTTTTGACTGTCATTCAACAAAAAAAAAGTGGCTAAAAAATCTATCTATTCACCAGACCTGTTTTCCAACTTTTGCTTTAATATCCCACAATTCAGGCTTTTTATTTGTTTATTTATTTACTAAACTCAGAATTGCAAGATATGAAATCACAGTTCTGAGAGGAAACGTCTAAATTGTGAGATATAAACTCGCAATTGCAAGGAAAAAGTCAAAATTGTAAGATAAGTTGCAATTACTCTTTTGTTTTTATTCTGTGGCAGACAAAAAACCTAAATTGCAAGATGCAGAATCATAAAACTCAGAAAAAAAGTCTAATTTTGACTTGTATCAATAATATCTTGCAATTATGTTTATATATATTATGACTTTTTTTTTATCAGAATTGGAAGAAAAAGTCGGAATTGTGAGATAAACAAAGTTGCATTTAGCTTAATTATCATTCTGTGGTGGAATTCTGTGGAATTCTGATTAAACATACAAATAAAAGATAATAAATAAAAAAAAAATTTGGATTTTAGTGAGCATATTAAAAAGAGTTGCATCCAGTGCTTAATTTGAGCTGTTCCGGAAAATTTCAGATTTTGGATTTTTGCGTTCTGGTAATTGGATTGTGACAGTGCGTGCGTGCATATGAGAGCGAGCGCAGTTTTATGTAGATATTTGGAGGTTATGTAGCCTTTTGGTCCTCAACATATTTTGGACCATGACCAATCAGCTTTCTTAAATTCAAACTCGCGCTCATTGATTGGTGCTTACTGCTTATTGTTTTGTGAGCAGCGGAACGTTTGGAGAGAGTGTGATCATACCAGAAATAATACCAAATAAACTGAAATATTATAATGTATAAACATTATAAACACTATGAACATAGCTATACTTTAGTATAGCTCACTCCAAAACAAATCAATTAAAGGTAATGGTATTCAGAACAGAACAAGAATGAAATAAAAATATATAAAGCTAAAGAAACCAAAACAAAGCGAAACTGAAAATACCAGGCCTTGGGCTCACGTACCTCTCATTCGGCACAAATCCGTTACCATATTCGCAATGTATTTGAATGTTAAACTATTAATTATTTATAATGTAGAAGCTTTGTACTTCACGTGCATTCGACAGAAATATTCTAATTTCTCTTTACATAAGCAAAAATGTGCTTGGCATAACAGGACCAGTTATACCATGGACTATTTAAATTGACCAGTGTAACCTTTATATTTTTGGTTGGCTATTTTATTTTGATAATGAACAGACTGCGATCTCAAGTTTGAATTGCGAATATGTGGTGTGTGAGTGTGTGTGTGTGTGTGTGAGCGTACGAGGCGCCCGGCATGATCAAACAGCTGAAACATAAAATATAAAATTTTTGGTCATACAGATAAGAGTAAGACATAATTCGAAAGCGCAAATTGTTTACTTTTATTTTTGCACACTCAAAATAACAACAAAACATTTGTGCTTTTGTAAAATAAAGCAAGGATGCGCGTTTTTGTGGAGCGCCGCGCCTCGCATCCGTTTTAAAAGGTTAATTATTTAAGTCAGATATTTTTCGCATATTGAGCCATACCTTTTATATATATACCATGATTGAATTTTATTTTTATGAAAACATATTTTGTTATTTTTAATGTATCTTAGATATACATTTTCCTTAAATCATCCTGGCGACCCATTTTAGACCCAGGGTTTGAAATCATGCAGAAATTGTGAACGATGCTATAATTGTGGCATCACCATTTAGTGACGTCATTGAACATTCCGGGAAAACTGAAGTTGTATTGTCAGTGTCGGTCACAGCGCCTTTTAATTGCTGTTTTCAACGAGGGGGTGCATAATCTGGCAGGGGTGCCGAATTCGGCACAACACCGGCAATTATTCATTTACAAATTAAGCACTGGTTGCATCCCTAGTGTCAGCCCTGTTTACCATCATAAATGTTTCTTATTTTCTAACGCTTGATGAACTCTGTTTCCCTGATTTTGTACAGTAATTAACTGATTATTGAACATATGATATTTGTAGAAACATCAGTATTATATTTGTAATGAATACTGTGTAGGTGCTCATGCCATGGAATGACCTTCTGGCTTTTCCAGTGGTTTCAGTGACTACTACATTCGTAACATTGGCTTTGGTTATGACATGGCATGCAAACTTGTGATGTGCCCTTTACTCTACTTTAGATCCTGGTGGTCTCTGATTTCACATTTCTGGTTGTGTTTTCAGCCAGACGACCTTTGTCCCACATTGGTGAACGCCATAATTTGTGGTAAACAGCCACGGATCAGTTGCAGACGCCTGTGTGAAAGCTGCTTCTGCACCATGTACCGCACATGGACTGCATACGCACTGCAAACGGAGTATGTGTGAACCTGGTGTAGGTGATCGTATCGGCAGATACTGCTTTCTGTGATCGGTGATCGGCCTCAAAAATCCTGATCGGAGCACCCCTACTTATATGGACCTTTGTCAGGGCAGATGCCATACTTAAATTTTAAAGAATGAAAATAAGACTGTGAGTGATAGAAATACAGTCTGTGCAGCTACTAGGTGTCCATCTTTCAGCAGACAGAACATTGAAAATATGTCTGTCTAAAAAATTACCAGTTGACAGAAACATATTCTGGGAAAATAAGACATAAACAGCCTTGCTATTTTGAATTACGTCTATGAGGCTTCCTGTATGTTGGGCTGTTTTCAGGCCAAGTAGTTCTTACCAGACCAAAAAAGAAAAACTTCCAAAATATTTCCAGTTTTGCTTCGTGGAGCCTAGCAAACTTCCGTTGTGACACCATCTGTCTTTTTCAAAAGTGAGCTTCAGTTGCTCTAGCTCTGTGAAGTGCAAAGAAATCATTGAACTCTGGGCAGTTTCCTCCATTTCAGTCAAAGAGATGTTAGTGTTGTAGACAGCCTCTGGGTCACTTGCACAGCACCTTGTCCTGATGCTTATTTTGAAGCATTTATTGTGGACTTGAACAGGTGGATTGAGAAAAAAAAACATTAGAATTATGTACGTTGTAAAAAAAAAAAAAAAAAAAGATTTTTCGAAGATGTAAAAATATTATAAAAAACACTTTATCAGTCTTTCTACAAAATTTCACATTTACTATTATTTAAAAGTAGTATGTGAAACAGTACCCATATGCAAGAATAATTGTTTCATTGTTGCCTCATGAGCTTACACTATTATGTGCATGTTTAATTATGTGAGTGAGTGGTGTTCTTTAATTAATCAAAAATTGTCCGCAAAAACGGTAATATTTCTTCTGTTTAATTTGTTTTATATACTGCAGAAATAATAAGATTAATATGGTAGTTTGCTATTCCGAATAGTATTAACTTTATACAGAATGGACATTTTAAAGAATTACTTAATAACATTTCATTTAAAAGGTTGTAATTTGACTTTGCAGAGTGGGAAATAATCAATGAAAGCTTGAATACATTTTGAAAGCACCATTAATGTCAAGCTGCTTGGTCACATGATCATTGTGTATTCTGCACTTCATTTAAAAGCCTTTTTACCTGTTAGTGAATGTTAGCACAGCTCTCAGCGGTGGCGTCCCGTGCTTCTCGCTCGCCATAATAATATTGCATTACAGCATATCCCTAAGGTACGCTTCAGAGAGACCGTCTGGCACACCTCCATCCAATCAGAAAAGATTCAGTGTCATTAATATGTCTATGAGCTAGTGACAGTGGGGTAAAATAGCAGCCAGTTGCAGTGTGAAGTCGTTTTTCGGTTACCCAAAATCTAACTGTCCTATTCCTATAACTATTCCTATAACTATACCTATAACCTAGTTTGGGAGCCAAATGCGAAAAGCTCTACCTCCTTTAGTGGACTTTGCTATCCTAGGTACTACCAAAAGTCCAGAGTTTTGCGACCTTAGGGAGCGTGATGGATTGTAGCGTGGTAGAAGACTAGTTAGGTACGCAGGAGCTAACTCATTAAGGGCCTTATAGGCAAGTAATAATATTTTGTAACTGATACGGAACTTAATAGGTAGCCAGTGCAGAGACTGTAAAATTGGGGTAATATGATCATATTTTCTTGACCTGGTAAGGACTCTAGCCGCTGCATTTTGGACTACCTGTAGCTTGTTTATTGAAGATGCAGGACAACCACCTAGCAGTGCATTACAATAGTCCAGTCTAGAGGTCATGAATGCATGAACTAGCTTTTCTGCATCAGAAACAGGTAACATATTTCGTAGTTTGGCAATGTTTCTAAGATGGAAGAATGCTGTTTTTGTAACATGGGAAATATGATTTTGAAAAGACAAGTTGCTATCTAATATAACACCCGGATTTTTGACTGTAGAGGAAGTAACAGTACATCCGTTTAGTTGCAAATTGTAATCCAAGAGATTTTGTGTACTGTTTTTTTGGTCCAATAAGTAATATCTCTGTCTTATCCGAATTTAATAGGAGAAAATTATTGGTCATCCAATCTTTTACATTTTTAACACACTCTGTTAGCTTAGATAATTTAGAAGTTTCATCTGGTCTTGTTGAGATATATAGTTATATAGAGTATCATAAGCATTCTAATATTATTACCAAGGGGCAACATGTATATTAAAAATAGCAGAGGACCTAGGACAGATCCTTGTGGCACTCCATACTTTACTGGTGATAATCAAGATGACTCCCCGTTTAAATATACAAAGATCAAGTAAAACTAGCAATGAGATGCAGCCTTGGTCTGACGCAAGAAGCAAGTCATTTGTAATTTGAACAAGTTAACAGTTTCTGTGCTATGGTGGGGCCTGAAACATGACTGAAATTCTTCATAGAGATAATTTTTTGCAAGAAGGAGGACAATTGAGCCCAATGAGCAGACACAACTTTTTCTAAAATTTTAGACATATACGGAAGATTTTAAATGGGTCTGTAATTTGCCAGTTCATGATCTAGTTGTGGTTTCTTAATAAGAGGCTTAATAACCGCCAGCTTGAATGGTTTTGGGATGTGGCCTAAAGATAACGATGAGTTAGTAATATTGAGAAGTGGTTCTTCTGCTACAGGTAACAACTCTTGCAGTAATTTAGTGGGTACATGATCTAATAGGCATGTTGTTGGTTTAGATGCAGTGATAAGTTTATTTAGCTCTTCCTGTCCTATATTTGTAAAGCACTGCCGTTTTTCTTTGGGTGCGATGAATGAAGCTGAAGTACTAGATGCTGTAGAATCTAAATTTGTTATTGTATTTATGATGTTATCTATTTTATCAGTGAATAAATTCATAAAGTCATTGCTATTAAACTGTGAGGGAATATTTAGATAGAATATTTAGAAATTTAGCATTCATCACTTGCTCACTAATGGATCATCTGCAGTGAATGGGTGCTGTCAGAATGAGAGTTCAAACAGCTGATAAAAACATCATAATAATCAATAAGTAATCCACATGACTCCAGTCCATCAATTAACAGCGCCTTGTGAAGTGAAAAGCTGTGTGTTTGTAAGAAACGAATCCATCTTAAAGATGTTAAACTGTAGCTTTTGGCCAAAATACCAGCCAATAATCCATAAGCTTTACACTTCACAAGACGTTAATTGATGGACTGGAGTCGTGTGGATTGCTTGTGGATTATTGTGATGTTTTTATCAGCTGTTTGGACTCTGATTCTGACGGCACACATTCACTGCAGAGGATCCATTGGTGAGCAAGTCATGTAATGCTAAATTTCTCCAAATCCTCTCACCTTTAATCTCACCTTGGAGCAAAAAGGTATTCTCTCTGATGCATGTTAATAGGCCTGTCGCAATAATCAATATATCGACTTATCGCACAATATATGTACATGACCGCAATAATTTTTGGTGACGCAATATATCGCACATTATATTTACTTAAAAAATTTATGTCACCATGTTTTGTACATTCCACTTGCGCTTGTGTCTTTTGCAGCTTCTGGTACATAACGTGGTGTAGTCATGAGGTGCTAGTTCAAGTTTAAAAAAATGCTTCTACAAACAAAGTTTCATCTGCAGATATGATCTTGTTTAGGGATCTGTGCCTTTGTGCATACGGACATCTGTCTGCTAAGTAGAGATTGTGTTTACTTATTTATGTATTTACTTATGTTTAAAAAAGTGTTTTAACTTTTAAAGTCCAAGATTGAGAATTACAAACACAAAAAAGATATTTAGAAAAATATTCAAGGTTTTTTTCCTTTTCATGCTATGAAGGTTAATTGTTTCACTTTCAAAATAGCTTTATGTTCCACAGAAGAAAGTAAGTCACAGGATTATAACAACAAGAGGCTGAGTAAATGTTAAGGGAATTTTGTTTTTGTTTTTTTGTTATTTGGATGAACAATTCCCTTAAAGCATTTTTGTATTTTTTTTCCAGCATATTTTACAAAGCTACAATTTCTCAAATGCTCTAGGTGTAAAACAGGCTTTCATTTTATGTGAAGTATGGACAGGTGAAAATTGCTTTAATGTCAGATTTCTTCCATTTGCACCTGCCTTCTCCACTTTTCATTCACGTCAGTGAAATCAGAGAATGTCAAAAGCCCACTTTCAGGTTCTGTTCAGGTGCAGTCATTGACACGTCCTTGACATTCTTGCTCCTTTTGTGCAGAGCAGATTCTGCACTCTATTTCCACCGAGCGAATGTTCTCTGCCCTTTTAAATTTCAGTGTGGCAAAGTTTTTTTCTAGCACTTTAGTTGGATTAATAATTTGTAGGGATGCACCGATACCACTTTTTCCAGTACTCGCCCGATACCGATACTTTTATTTTTGGTACTTGCCGATACCGAGTACCGATACCGATATTTTTATTGCATTTGTACATTTTTTAAATATTGGGTACAGAAACCAAAAGAGTATGTATAATGTTAGTTGGTTAACTTCATTTATCAAATAGATACAGTCAAACCAAAATATATTCAGACACCTTCACAGGAGACCAGTATCGGGCCCGATACCGATGCATCCCTAATAATTTGTGATCTCTGCATCTGCCTTGATGCGAGTTATAGTTTAGCGCGAGTTAGATATCTTCTTTTCCCTTATGCACATAAGAAAATAAATAAAGCGGCCCAAACAGTGCAGCGCTTTTGAAAGTTGTGGCCTGCGGTGCGATGGCACATATCAAAGTTGGATTCCACTTATGTACGCTTGGCCCTAGAGTAAATTCAGCCGTGTAAGCAAATACAAAACTCTTTTGGGTGAAGAATTTCAGATGCTTTCAGCTGCCCTGAATTTGAAGGTAGAACACCGAATAAATGCTTAGAAGTAATTTCCCAGCCCAGAGAGGATTTGATGAGTTTAAAGTTAAGTGGAACGGTGACTGCTGGGGCGGCCATGGGCTGTGGATTGCACTCCGAGTAAAGCTGAGATAGACAGAAAAGCAAAATGCCGTAGACTACATTGCTAGTTGAGTCCCTGATGGCCTGCTTTCCTTGAACAGGCATCCTGTTTTCAGGCAGTGCTACAATCTCAACTTTGTTAGATTGTTTTGCTGCTATTGAGCTATTGGGAGCCTTTACCTTGACACCCCCTGGTTATTTTCTACATACAAATGCATCACTTAGCGACACATTTCTGTATGCTGATCTGAGCGAGTGGGTTTATAGGGAAAAGCGTGCCGGGAAATGGTAATTCGAGATCTTTTTGCTTGCAGGCACAGCTGAAAGCGCTACAATAAGGTCAGATTTTACGTGTACTACCTATAGATGAAGCCGAAGCACGTACGGATGGCCAGTGTGGACGTTTGATTGACAGGCCCGCAATTCTTTTAAGCACATGCATCTGTGGGATAGGCTAGCGTAGAATTTTTAAAACTGCTTTGTGCGAGTGCCCCGGCGACTAGATCCAGATATTTGTATGCGTGTTGTGTTGCTCATCACCATTAGGAAAGAAATCTGACCCTCGAAGGAGAGTGCAGAACCATATCTCATGTGGGGAGCAACAGCACTTTGATGAAATGGAACGGTGTTTACCACAGAAATCTTTCAGCGTCCTAATATGGACGCTGATGCCGATCCCGGCGCTCTAATGAGAACACTACCAGAGCAAATAAACAGACACGAAGAGCTGCAGAGGATGAGACGACTCTGAAATGAGACGACTCTGAAAGTGTTTTGTACAGTACTACAGATGAAATGGCAGCAACTGTGAGTTGGTGGGGTTGCTGCACATGATCTGTGAAAGTGACTGTGAAATATGAATTCCCTTGATGGAAGCTGCACACTTTATAATTGGGCACCATTATGAGTGCAGCTGTACTGAGAACGATTCTTGAAAATTGGTGGGTATTGCACATGAATTATATTAAAACGGCCGTGTTCTACACTTTTTGCAGAGTATTATTTTTTTCCCTGAAGTCCATTTATAATATTAGTCAAGGTTTTTTGCACATGATTTAGTTTTGCATGACCATATGCAACACTCTCTTTGACCCTTAGGATTAAACAGGCTGGTTTTGTGGCTTCACTTTTAAGAATATATGTAAATAACCTTTGCAATACTGTGATTTCTGAATGACCCATTTTTGCTTAGTTATCATAAATGGTCCGAGTGCAGTCAGGAGGAAGTTTTGCATTGGGAATGTAGCATTTCAGGGTGGTTCAGTTTTGAACTGAATTTAATTTATATAATTTATATAACAGGTTTGTGTTGGATTTGTGATTTTAAAAAAAGGTATTTAAAATATTTTGTTTTAATTTGAACATAACTCACATAGCTTATATAGAAAATATAGAATATAGAAAAAAAATTGTGTTTGGAAAAAAATCTTTTTGATTTAAGTCTGATTAGTCTGGTTAGTCTAGGGATATTATCAACTAAAACTATGGAAAAACTAGTTTTTTAAAATTTAAACTAAATGAAAAAGTATACATATAATTATAAATATGAATATAAATAATAAAATAAAATATAAATGTTGAAGCACCGAAATTACTAACTGAAAAAAAAAAAACTAATAAAAATAAATTAAACATTTAAATAGTAATCTTAAAAAAAATTACTAATAAAAATGAAAAAAAAAACTAATAAACTAAACTAATAAAAATCAGAAAATAAAATAAAATAAAAACTGAAAATATAAAAATAAAAGCCAATTCACAATATTTAAAAAAACTTTGATAGTATATAAATAATAGTAAAATAATACTGGTTCAGGGTCTCACAATGTACAAAGTACATTTAAAATAATAATAATAAGAAGAAGAACTTGAGAAATTTAAAACCTAAATATGAGACTTATTTTTTAAATAATACAGGACTTTATGCTATATGTGTATTCTAGTGATGAAACTGCATGTTCACTTCTCACATTCTTCAATTCTGATCTTCTTGTGTTTGTATATCTTGGTGTTAGGATCTGAACAGCACTCTGAAGAGTCTTCTGTCAGAATGGTTCTCTGTTGGCTTACTCCGACTGGAAAGAATCACTTGGCAGTCCACATGCGAGATCCTTCAGAAGATCAGCCAGTAAGATCTCTCTCGTATGTATAAACATTTCCTTTTTATTTGTCTTCCCAGTTGAGCCTTTTTTTGTTTGATCCTACAGGTACGAGGCGGTCCATCCTGTGCGGAACTGGACGGATATCAAACGCAGAGTGGGGCCGTACCGGAGATGTTACGCCTTCACCCACGCTTCCATGCCTGGAGAGCCACTGGTGGTGCTGCACGTTGCCTTAACTGAGGACATAGCAAATAATATCCAGGTAAATGCAAATGAAAATCACATTTGGTATTCATCACAAAGAATAGTTTATGGCTTGATGGTCAAATAGAGTGTAAATGAATTATTGGGTTCATGAAGGGAGAAAGCGTCCTTGTGCAATGTCATTACTTCTCACCAGTACCTGCTAGGATCAGAAAAATGTGTAAGGAGACAGTAGTGGTGTAAGACAGGGGCTAAAGATGCTCCAAAACAGCACACTGTGCCTAGAATGTAAAGAATTCTTCACTATGGTTCCTGATTCTGGCAACGCCTCCAGTGAATCCTGTGTGAGTTTATTCATTTATCATGTGCCTCTTATTTTCCCAGGGAATTGTAAGAGAGTTTTCCACTCTAGATGCGGATGAAGATGTTAACAAGATCAATGCTGCCATCTTCTACTCCATCTCCTCCACTCAGGCCGGATTGCAGGGGGTGGAGCTTGGAAACTACCTCATCAAGAGGGTGGTCCGAGAACTGCAGGTGGGCAAATGAATGAGAAAATGAATCATAAAAGTGATGTTTATCACAGCTGTTTGAAGAATTTTTGCAGTGGAATATCTGTAGATAAATAATAAATGCTAGGAAAACAGTCTGCTATTTATATGGTAGAGTCAAGCAGGATTTTCAACCTTTTTGATATGAAGAGCACAATAAAATATTTAAAAGTATTCAACAGTTAAAGTCATGCGTATTATATAAATGTGTGTGTGTGTGCATATTTTATATTAAAATGAATTACTTTTGTTAAATTTTGAAGTAAACAAAAATTTAAATAACATTATTTTAAATTGAAATTATACTTTAATCAAATTCACATATATTGTTTTTTTTTTTACATTTCAATGCAAAAATAAACCCAAAATAAAAATTATATATATATGTATATATATTCATTTTTTTACATTAAAAAAATTAAACCATTTAAATAAAAAAAATGTACATTTAAATTTTATTTATATCAAATTCACTATATATAATCAATTAGAAGTTTTTTTTTTGTCTATTTTTCCTTCCTTTTGTGATATGGCATGGCGAGCTAAATCAAAGGTCTCAATGGCCGACTTTGCCTTTAATATGCATACAAAAACTAATACGCAGTATAATTCATTAATTGGTATTTTGTAGTTAACTCAATACAAAATAGAAATTGAATCTAAGGACTGTAATACCATTAATATATTTGTCCCACAGCATCACCTAGTGCCAGGCATTGTACTTTAGCACATTTCTAAGCTGGAAGAGAGAAAAAAGCAGGAAAACTAATAAAATTTCAGCTGTCACCCTCAATAACACGAAGAAGGAGGGACACATGGCATGTCACAGAGCTCCTGCCTCTTTACTAGATGAAGGCGAAATTAAATGGAAAAGAACTGAGAGGCACTCAGCTTTATAGATTCAGATGAGTTTTGCTTCAGCTGGAATGTTGGTGAAACAAAGTGCTGGATGGCTGTTTGTGTAATAGAGGTTAACCCTAGTAAAGAGCTCTCTGCGAAGGGCTGCGGTTCTCAGAGAGCTGATTTACCCAGATGAGAGATTGAAGGCATCATTTGAGTGGAAATGGACACTCGATAGATATCATTTCATGCAAATTGTGTATGCTGATGCTTTGGGTTTGTATTTGAATTCGTTTTTGAAGTGTGTGTGCAAATGCAGCTCACTTGGTTTTCTTCGAAACAAATTCTCTCCATCTTAGTCCATAAATATCCATACGATCCTTTACAAAAATGTACCATGGTAACCATAGTTTCCAGTAAAACACCATTGTTGCTCTAGGTACTAAGTTTGTTACTACTGTTCCCTTTCAAGGGAACTTCGAACTGCGTCCTCTAGGGGTCGCTATGGGGAACGCCTCGTCGTTACCCGTGTCTGAAGCATACATTGAAAAAACACCAACAACACGTTGGCCGGCGACAGCCCATGACGTCACTACGCTGTAGGTCCCTCCCTCTCGTTTTAGAGCTGGGTGTCTTGCTCCCTCAGCTAAGTAAATTATTGCTAGCTGTTCCAGCGTTTGAACATGCGGTAGGTCGAGCTCCCCTCTCGTTTGAGAGCTGGGTG